TGTAAGTCTGTGGGCCTGTACAAAAGGAAAAAAAGCGAGGACACAGGACACCCTTCTCTTTCGTTCACATTCTTTGCAGTAGAACTGTTGGCTCTAGAACACTTGGCCCCTGGAGGAATGACCTAGAATCGACCGCCAGTCGGCTCACCGGGCCACCTCCTCCCCTCTCCACAGAGCGCTCCGCAGTCTAGTGGAATTCCTCCCCAGGCCCTCCGTAGCCAAGGAAGCCGCGATTCTGCGCCGCCACGTGACGTCATCACCAAGCGCCCAAGTGAGCGAAAGGGATTAGGGGTGGGGATTCCCCCCACGACCTTATAAGGTCTTTTCCCATAATTCTCTCCTTCTCTTCGCTGTCGTCCCTTTATCCCAGCAGCCGCCGCCATGAAGTAAGCTTGGATTCCAATCCGCTTCCATCCTCGCGCAGAACCTCTCTGCGGCGTCCTGGGCATGGCTATTACTTGTAAACAGCCCCCTTAATGGGTTTTCACTTTTCGTTATAGGGTCGAGCTGTGCAGTTTTAGTGGGTACAAGATATACCCCGGACACGGGAGGCGCTACGCCAGGACCGACGGAAAGGTAAAAGGCCGCATTAGCTTTTTTTCCTCTGAAAAGGAAAAACCGACCTACTTCAGTGTAAATGGCTTAATTTCTTACCAGTCTGTTGGCTTCTGAAAGGGTTCGGGAGTCTTGTGTGGAGTGATGGTTGGAATCAGGAATTTCTAAGTGAACCATTGAGGCTTRATGTAGAGTGAGCCAAGTGGGAAACGAGCGGTTTGTGTAATTAATGACGTAGCGTAAGCGAAGTAACCAGGGTACCCGGATATCTGCTTGTTAGACGGCCACAGGTCCTTTTGGAATCTCAGGAGGGACATGAGCAGAATTATCGGAATTTGATACCCCACCTTTGCTTAAAGCATAGCTTTGCCTCCTTGGGAGTACCGACCAAACGTAGCGACCTTGGGGGTATTAACTCAGTTACTAACAGTTATATGACCTAAGTTTTCTGGTCTCTGTGAGCCCCAATTTCATAAAATAGCTCTAAAATATTTTAACGGGTTTTTAAGCTCAGCGTCCTTTATTTGTATAGCTAGGTAGGTAATGACTTTGGATTTGTGACAACAGGTTTTCCAATTTCTTAATGCAAAATGCGAGTCGGCTTTCCTATCCAAGAGGAATCCTCGGCAGATAAATTGGACTGTCCTCTACAGAAGGAAGCACAAAAAGGGCCAGTCGGTGAGTGGAATACCCTTGGGTGTTGTGGGGCAATCTCTAAAGAAATTTAGCTTCCTGAGCATTGGTTTCTGTCATGTAATTTTTTGACTAAATGAGAGTTATTGAAATGTGCTTGTAAAAGCATCAGTGAAGTGAAAAGAGATGATGTACATTTTAGGCTTAGTAGTAAGAAGTTGAAATCTGAAAATATCCCTTTGTACAAATTACATTAGTTACATTTGGGTTATAGAGCATGATGGAGATGTTAATGCAGTTCCAGTGCGTGATTGAGTCTTCTTATAGCTTACTTTTTAATATAGTCCCCATAGGATTAGCACTAACATAGATTAACGTAGATCACTTTAGCYTCCCAACTTGTAGTACTGGTTCATCCTGAAACCTAAAATAAATTTTTGGGAACCTTGCTTTTTGGGGGGCTGTGTCCTTAGCTAGATGACAAGGTTTGTGAGGAAAAAAGTTTTGATTGTGATGGTAGAACTACATCTGTTATTCAGAAGACTTTGGGATATTTATGCTTATTTAGTGAGCATTTCCTGTGTGGAAGAGGAGGGAAAGTGCCTGCTGCCTGCATGGTAGTACACACCTATAATCCCAGCTGCTTAGGAGTCTGAGGGAGGCAGACCGAAAATTCAGGCCAGCCTGGACAATTTAGCCAGGACCTGTTTCAAAAGAAAATTTAAACAGGCTGGTGATGTAGCTCYGTGGTAGAGTACTTGCCTAGCTTGTTGGAGGCCCTGGGTTCAATCCTCAGTGTGGGGGTGAGGGGGAATTATTTCTACTTCCATTTTAAAAATGGATTGGATGACTATTGTCAAAAAATGGGATATTATAGGTGTTGGTGTGGACATGGAGAAGCTGGAACCCTTGTTCATTGCTGGATATAAAATGATGCAGCCACTATGGAAACAATCATTTAATTCATTGTTAAAGTCATTATGATCTGGCATTTCTTTTTTCTTATATCTTTATTTCATCTTTATGTGATGCTGAGGATCGAACCCAGTGCCTCATGCATACTAGGTGAGCGCACTACCACTGAGCCACAAACCCAGCCCATGATCTGGCATTTCAACTCTTAAGTTTATACCCCAAAGAATTGAAAATAGGTACTCCCTTAACTTGTATACTGATGTTAATAACACCATTGTTCACAATAGCCAAAAGGTAAAAATGAATGTCCATCAGAAGATTAATGGATAACAAAATGCACAGTTGAATAGCTGTCATTCCAAATGCTTGAAGCAGTAAGTATCTCTGGAATGGAATGTTTCAGGAACTTGGATTAGCTGGATATTTATAATGAAATATTTTGTTGAGGGACCTAAATCTAATTCATTACGGTTCTTATAAATAGCCTGAAGGTAATTTGATATTTTAACAACCTTTCCATTGTGGTTGCTCAAGAAATTTTGGATTTTGTGGTTGCAGATGCTCAGCCTGTTACATACAGGCTTAAAAAAAGGCTAATAACTAGTTGACTTCTTATGAACCTTGAAGATAGGCCAAGTGGAAATACWATATGCTTCCACTTTTATAAGTTATCTAGAGTAGGCTGGTTAATAGGGAGAAAGAATGGGGAGATATTGTTTAGTGTTTGCACAGTTTGAGGTGCATAAAAAAAGTTCAAAATAGATGATTTAAATAGTTCATAAGGGKCTGGGGATGTGGCTCAAGCGGTAGCACGCTCGCCTGGCATGCATGCAGCCTGAGTTCGACCCTCAGCACCACATACAAAGATGTTGTGACCACCGAAAACTAAAAACAAATAAATATTTTTWWAAAAATTCTCTCAAAAAAATAGTTCATAAGTAGAAAGCTTACACGTTTTATTTCATTTCAAATAATTGGCATTAATTTTTTTGTTGTTGAGTATGAGTCTTAAAAGACTTMATTAATTTGTTTTATAACTCAGTTTTGTTTTTAGTGTCTTAAGAACATTGATAAATTCAATTCCCCCCACTAGCCCTTTCTTAAAAATCTTTAAGTCTTATTAAAAGACTTAGGTTAATAAGTGTGCTCCCATGTTTTTGTTTTGTAGGAAGAAATTCAAAAGAAGAGAACTCGGCGTGCAGTCAAATTTCAGAGGGCCATCACTGGTGCATCCCTTGCTGATATCATGGCCAAGAGGAATCAGAAACCAGAAGTTAGAAAGGCTCAACGAGAGCAAGCTATTAGGTAAGAAATGGTTCACTGAACATTTCAACTCTTGGGGGTATATTTACAATATAGTCTAATTTGTTTTATTTTTTGGTACTGGGGATTGAACCCAGATGACTTTGCTGCTGAGCTACATCCCTGGCCCATTTGATTTTTAATTAAGAGAGACGGTTTCCCTAGGTTCCTGAAGCCTATCCTTAAACTTGGGATCTTCCTGCCTCAGCCTCCAGAGTAGTTGGGATTACTTATAGGCCATTGACACCATGCCAGGCTTTAATTTCTGTTGTGTTGAAATTCTATGTGCAAACCAAAGAGATGAAAAATTATGCTCTTTATGTGCCATATGAATTGTAATGCATTCTGCTGTCCTATAACAAATTAAAAATTTTTATAAAGTGGTAAAAAAATCCTATGTGGAGGGGCTGGGGTTGTGGCTCAGCATTAGTGTGTTCGCCTAGCCTGTGCAAAGCCCTGGGTTCGATTCTCAGCACCACATAAAAACAAATAAAATAAAGGCATTGTGTCSGACTACAACTTTAAAAAAAATATATTTAATAAGTAAAAATCCTGTTGCAACAACTTTGGAAAGTTGAGACAGGAGGATTGCAAGTTTGAGGCTAGCCTCAGCAACTTAGTTAGACCTTGTCTCAAAAGTTGAAAGGTCTAGGGATATAGCTCAGTGGTAAAGCCAGTTCCCGTACAAYAAAATAAAATGGCATGTGCAGTAAAATTTACTGTACTCTGTAATACATGTTAACAAAAGTGACTTGATGATGAAATTAATCCCCTTGGATTTGGGACTTAGCCTAGAAATGAAAAATAGAAATGGGGGGAAGGAAGCAATTTGATAGTTCTAAAACTGTAGCTCCATCTTTAATTAGTGGTACTCTTAAGGAGTAAATACTTTGTCTAAATTTATCTTTAACTGCACAGGGCTGCCAAGGAAGCAAAAAAGGCTAAGCAGGCATCTAAAAAGACTGCAATGGCTGCTGCTAAGGTAATTGTGGGGGTTTTCTTGAATTCCTTAATATAACCAAGTTTTTGTTTTAAGCCAAAGAGTAGTAASTGAAAGTAGATACTGAGACTTTATTGGATTTCTGGGTGATTGGTTCAGGTCTCTGAAGTTGTCTTTCTAGGAGTCAAGGCGTCTTTTTAATATTAGGTATTGGGAATGGGGAAAATAAATGTGGCTTTTGATTTTTAAACTTTATTTCTTAGAAAAGTTTTGGTAACAGTGTAGAGTTACACAGCTTTTTTGTTGCCATGATGTAAACTTTAAACTAGAAATTAACATTGGTTCTATACTACTAATAAAAATAGCATCCTTTTTCTATTTGGATATAGTTCGTAATCCCAATTGTGTCTCCTTATTCTCCAATCTGTACAGTATCTTTGTCTTTCATTATAAAGATGGAAATGAACTTTTAACATGGGGAGTTACATAAAATTTTGATAAAAGTTTTGTTAAGTAATGTCATATAATGTCATTATCTTTTTACAGGCTCCCACAAAGGCAGCACCTAAGCAAAAGATTGTGAAACCTGTGAAGGTTTCTGCTCCCCGAGTTGGTGGAAAACGCTAAATTGGCAGATGAGATTTTAAAATAAAGATGTCTATAACTCAGATGGTGTTGGATTTCTGCTCCTAAACAGGCATGTTGGGTCCACATGGTAATAGGTGTACAGTAAAGTTGAGAATTTAAGACAATTTCAAGTTCATTTCTTGGGGCTGGGGGTATTGATCAAAATTGTAGACTATTTGGTTAGCATACATGTGCTCTGGGTTTGATTTCCTGTGCCAAAATAAAATGAAAGTTCATTTCTCAGAAATAATGCCTTCTGATGTAACCCTTTTAATTGGAGAAATGTTAAAATAAGGCAATAAAGATGTATGGTTGAATGCTAGCTTTGTTTCAATGTGTCTAGGACACATTACACAGACAGAAAGTACTGCAGTGTTGCATAGATTTAGCCCAAGTTGACTATTCAAATACTCTTTTCTCTATCCATGACAGATACATTTGTTTTATTGGGTTTGCCTTATACATTGGGACCCCCCCTTCTCCCACCATTAGCTATTAGCTGATTTGATGGTCCCAAAAATTATCAGCTGTATAATCTCTTGCTCCCAGAAAATAGCATCCCCCTTTCTATTCTGGCTATATTATTCTGTCTCTGAACCCAGGGACACTGAATAAGAGTATATTGTACTATTGCCAGAGTAATTTGTTGAGCTGTGCCAAATAAAATTGCTCAGTAGACTGATGATCAAGAGATGTGTAATGTGATAAGGAAAATACTATAATTTGTGAACAGGCTTGTACTCTATAGATGACTTTATTAACTGCCCACCTGTGCTGAGTTGCAAGGATACAAAAATGCATAAGCCATGTCTTAAGGTTTCTCAAGGTGAGATTATGGTCCATGTCAACATTTCCTTCATCACCATTTATCCACGATAATGGATTACAAATTTTCTTCCCCTGGTTAATGTTGAATTCAGGCATTATTCTAATTGTTGGGTATAGTAAATAGGTTTGCAGAGAACCTGAAAAATAATTTTTATATGTAACCAGTGTTATGCAATGAATAAGATATACTGATAAACATAAGTGAGAAGATTAAGGTTTTTCTTGGGGAAAAAAGCCTTTTGGTTTCCTTTTTCACTAGCTGAAAAAGGAAAGTTAAAAGCCAAAATATCCAAATGAATGCTGAGGTGTTGTTCATTTTTGGACACCAAATCTCCCCTTGTAAAATGTCATTTCCCTTGTCAGATGGATCTACCAATTGTAATTGCCCTGGAGTCCCAGGGAGCTCAGAATGAGCTAGAAATAAACACTTGATTGCCAATTCTCAGTACAAATTTTAGCTTTACTCCCTCAGGAAGACACTCTTGACCACAAGAAACCACTTTTGTTAAAATACTTGTTTATTGTCCCAAAGGAGAATTTGGAGAATCAATGGACTTCTCAATGTGTAACAACAACACAAAACTGAACTGGTGGAGGGATGTTTTTATAACTTGGTTTTCTTAAATAGTATTTGCCACTTCCCATTTGTATTGTTTTTCTTTTTTTAGACAGGATCTTTCTCCAAGCTGCTTAACACCTTGCTAAGTTGCTAATGCTGATTTTGTGATCCTCCTACCTTAGATGCTCTAATGGCTGGGATTGCCATCTTGCTCCACCATGCTTTTCTGAAAACAACAACAACAAAAAAACACCTTAGCTTCCTTGCTTGTAGAGCACAATTTTGTTTTTAAAGTTGTTGAGTACCTTGATTTATTTATGTGCAGTGCTGAGAATCTGGACCCAGTACCTCTCACATGCCAGGCAAGCACTCTACTCCRGGGCCACAGCCGCAACTCCGCCTCCTCCCAGCCCTTGTTTTTAAGTAGGTCTGGATAAATTTTCTAGGCATTATCCAAACTTGGGATTCTCCTTTCTCAGCCTCCCTAGGAGCTGGGGCCATGGGTGTGGGWTAATCTATTAACTTTTCATATTTAGTTTTAAAGGGAGTTAGTTGACATCACAAGAGTGCTGAGGCAGGCTCACCGCATAAACAAGCCAGCTCCTCTGAGGGTAGATTTTGATATCCTTTTTCACTGTTCCACTCCAGGGGTGCATTACCATCTTCTAATTTCTCCCAATTACTATCAAGAAGTCTGCAAGTTAAGTAATTCTAAATAGAACCCAGCCCTAACAGTCTTGCTGTTTGTCCCTTGCAACTAAGCTACTATATGACCCTTACAAGGATCAGTCTTTAAGATCCCAGAACCACGTAGTTGGCAGTGTCTGCAGCCATCTCCCTGGGAAGTCTGGAATTTTTATTGGCTTCTGCAAGGTAATGCAGGTATCCAATTCGACAGGGAATGTAGGCTTTTGTAAGCACAGCAGATCTACCCCAGGAAAGGGTACCCAAAACCACACTGTACTACCAGCTTAAAAAAAAAAAATCTTAATTAGGACCCTTAGCGCACATTGGGAAATGCAGTTGAAGTCTGTTTAGCCTCTTGCGCCCTTATAATACATAAGTGTAAAACAGAGACCTTCCCCCCTAAATTTATGTAAAAATATATGCAAATAAAGCTAAATGGCACTAGCTACCCCTTCCCATTTCTTTCCAACACGATTGGCTCATCATACATGCGGATCCTTCCAGAAAAATCCTGCTTATTCCTTGGGTAATTGCGGAGGCGGAGGTGGGGGTGGGACAGGGTTTTATAGACAGAAAAGAAAACTTCTAACCTTGAATGCCTTAGGTATTATAATCTTTGTTATGCCTGCATTTTCATGTGAATGTGTCCAGTGACATTTGCTAAAGCTTCAATATCTGATGCTTTTATGTCAGGTATCTCAAGGTAGACAAAACGAACTCATTTACCCTTTGGGGTGTCTCGGGAGGGATAAGAACTGCCCACCAGCTCCTACAAGTGGCTCTTCGGAACACGGGAAAGGGAAAAATAAAAAGGGAAACTGCCAGGACTTAAGATGGCTGCTCAAAATCCCTTCTATTTCCTAGGAAAGTCCTACCCGCTTCCAAAATGTCTGCCCGCAGTGCTGACGTCATTTGATCCGCTCCCTCAAACCAGAAAGCGAGAACACTCCAATCCGGGCTCAGTCCACGCCCTTGGCTTGCGTCACTTCCGATGGTGCAGCAGCCATTTTGTCAGTCGCGAGAGGATCCCGCGCGCTGKAGAAGTGCAGTTCCCCCTGGTTACCAACTCGTCCGTTCTCCCTTCACGCTCCCGGCGCTGTCTAAGAGCGCTCACCAAAGGCGGAGCCGTTCCTCCGCAGAGTGCGGCCACTGCTGTTGCATCTACCAGGGGCTAGTGCGCTGTCTTCCTCCACCACCACTGACAGGAGCCCTCAGGGAGCCGTCGTCCGTGATGTCAAGCGAGGAAAGCTACCGGGCCATCCTGCGCTACCTGACGAACGAGCGCGAGCCCTACGCGCCGGGCACCGAGGGCAATGTCAAGCGTAAAATCCGCAAGGCTGCTGCCTGTTACGTGGTGCGCGGCGGGACTTTGTACTACCAGCGGCGGCAGCGGCACCGCAAGACCTTTGCGGAGCTAGAGGTAGTGCTGCAACCGGAGCGGCGCCGGGGCCTCATCGAGGCTGCACACCTGGGCCCTGGCGGCACTCACCACACCCGGCATCAGACCTGGCACGACTTGTCCAAGACGTACTGGTGGCGAGGTTAGACCTGACCTGCGGCGAGGGTGCGGGACGGCGGCTGGTTGCCCGGGCAAGGCCTGCTAGCGCGGCCTGTTGGCCCACCACGAGCTGGAGGGTCTCGGACGCCTCTTGCCGGGCCATCCCGCGCTTGGTATCGGAGCGGCTGCCAGGCGGCGTCGAGAGGGTGGGGGACGCGAAAGGAGCCGCACTTCCCACAGGAAGAAGGCCGGGAAGCTGGGGGCGGACCCTCGCCCGGGGTGGGGCCAAGGGGGCTTCCCCGGGGGCCGGGCCAGCGGCAGGGAGGGCGGGCCGCCGGCGCCGGGCCGCCCCGCCTCTCTAGGCAGCCCAGGAGGCGGTGGCGCGGTCCCTGGAGAGGTGGCTGTGGTGATTGGCCCGGGATGCTGCGGCTTTTGCCTTTTAAAGTCTGCAGATGATTTTGGTCAGGGACGGCTGGAGCCCAAACCTGGCTGCTGTTTCCAGTGCGTTCTGCTCGCGTTTTGGAGAATGGGTTTGAATTTTGCTGGATCTACTGGCCTTATTAAGATTCTCCCTCTATGGCGTACATAAGGAATAATCAATTTGTCTGTAGACTGAAAAAGAGTAATCGTTGAACAGTCATTTTGAATCTCAAGTTTATTTCGATAGTTAAATATAAAGACCATCAGGTACTTTTAATTCCGAATGTTTTAGTGTTCTTCCCCCTGATTCTGGGAACTATGGCGGCACTTCGTATACACAGATAAGATGAGGATACTGTAATTGTTTTTACTTAATTGTCAGAATTTAATCTCTAAAGTTTCTTAACTCCTTGGAAACCAGTTTAGTAGAGGAGAGCCGGTGCCCTTGGGTTCTTAACCACCTTCCCTTTCCACAAGTTGGAAAATACTAAACCACTCAGAATTAGTTTATAGGCTCATGCTTGAAGACGCTTTGTCAAAAAGGAAGGATTCTGCTACTCTCTGTAGGACTCTGGAAAAATTAAATCATGAATCTTTTTTTTTTTCTTTAAATAAAGAAATTAGGCTATGGTCCTAGTTTCTAAAGTTTTGTTTTATTGTTTTTTTATGAGCTTTGTGCATAAAAACTATTCGTTTAGGAACTTTTGTTGTTTAGAGAGTTCTTTCTCGTTTTCAAAACAGTTTGGATCTATATTCTCAAAGGCTTTCCCTTTTCTATTTTAAACGAATATCTGAATTAAATTACTCTGAAGAGTAAATGTAGGGTGAATGCAAGCCACCGTTAGGTTCATTCAGAATTTTTTAAATTCTAAATTGATTATCTTGGTGGTATCTAATCCAGTTTTTGTTTTTTGGTTTTAGTATGCCTTGTCTTAAAAGACGGGGTGGGGGGCAGGACCCTGAGACTATGTTTCTGTTAGCTTAATTTTAAAATGAAAGAGTTATATTTGTAGTAATGTGGAATTTCAAAATCCCCAAACACTTAGAGCAGCTAGCTATTCTCAAAGTATAGGAAATCCTGGAGGAAAAGAAGGTTAAAATCTGCCAGGTTAAAATTATTTTATTATACTAATAAAGCATTTTTTAATGCATTCTCTCCCAAACATACAGTGGAGTTTTCCATAGGTTACATGAATGATGTTATATCACAACAGATTGAAGACAGACACACCCATAATAGTCTTTTGTTAAGCCACACATTTAAAAGATTTTGCAAAAAATGTAGGAGTGCCACTCTTCTGAACCTTTTTTAGAAGTTTTTTCCATAAAAATGCCACTGTGTCAATGTATAATGGGTTTATTACATTATTGATCATCATGCTATTTTGTTTTAATATTTCATCATTTAAAATCAGAATTGCTAGTAAGCATAAGAGCAGTGTATCCTCAATTATTAGCTATTATTATTTTTTTWAAATATTTTTTTTAAATGTTGATGGACTTTCTTTTATTCATTTATTTATATGCAGTGCTGAGAATCGAACCCAGGGCCTCACACATGCTAGGGGAGTGCTGTACCACTGAGCCACAGCTCCAGCCCTTAGCTATTATTTTTGATGTTTGTTAACATTTTGCTTGTTTATATGTTTCCTTATCATAGTCTTATTAGATTAACAAAACTACAGAGGAATGGATATATTTTTCACTAGTCAATTTCTTCCTATGTAGTTTCAAAATTTGTTAAATCTTAAGCAACTTACATAGCGTGTTTCTGAATAACAAAGAAGAAAGCTTAAGTTTGATTCTAGATCTAAAGGTGACATTTACAACAGGTATTGGCAATGATCTAGAACTGATAATTGACAAAATAAGCATTTCTAACTAACATTTGTTAATGAACCACATGGTTTCCCTACACCATAAACTACTGGGAGGGTCATCTGGCATTCCAGGTATTTCCCTGTCTCATGCTGATTGGTGGCTGCTAGGGGGTTGCTATGGGTCCCCACCTAGCCTGACTGAGTCAGGGACACCTGGTGCAGCAGATCTCTCCTCTTATTTGTAGATAAACAACTTATCAGGATGGGAATGTGCCTAGGACTGCTCTATGGGTCTTTCCAAGGACAAAGTCATGTCCCTTCCTTGGACAGGCTTTGCTCTGAGGTAGAGGCTGATTTTTCATTTCCCCCTTTGTCTGAAAACTGTGGGTTTTTGCAAGGACAAAGGCCATGTCCCTTCCTTGGACAGGCTTTGCTCTGAGGTAGAGGCTGATTTTTCATTTCCCCCTTTGTCTGGAAACTTGGGAACCAATCATGGGGAACCATACTTTGAATTGGGCCTTTTCCCAGGCCAGCAATATCTAGTATGATATGCTCTTGTCATTGCTGGGCAGCAGTGGTAAGTAGAAGATCCCATTCAGCCATAATGATCATTATGTTAAACAACCAAGACTCTAAAGTGTGCTGTGTTGGTAAGCGGTGATGTTCAATAAGTTATGTGTATTAAAAGCATTTTCTACTTAGACATTTTCAAGTTAAGACGGTTTATTGGAACATATAACCTGTTGTAAGTTGAGCATCTGTACTTCTGAGATTGGAAAATCTGAGTGAGAAACTGTTCCTCAGGTTGATGATCCATTAAAATACAGGTTGTATCTCTTATCCAAGGTGCTTTGGACCAGAAGTGTTTCTTATTTCAGATATTTTTAAAATTTTGAAATATTTGCATATATAGAATGAGACATATCTAGGATAGAACCCATGTCTAAATGCAGAACTTATTTTTTATATGCACCTGATACACATACCTTGTAATTTTATACAATATTTTTGGTGCACATTAGATGAATGTGGCCTATTACATGAAATCAGGTGTAGTATTTTCCACTTCTAGGCAATCAAAAAGTTTCAATTTTGGATTTTCAGGTTAGGGATGCTTGACCTAATTTATGTCTCATTACTCAGTAAATAAATAACCTTTTATTAGTAGCTTGACATCCAAAGAGTTATCACAGGGACCATCTTGGGAAAATATAGAAACTTGAATTGTAGAATATAAAACCTTTTAGTTTTCTAAAAATAGCAAAAGGACTTAAAGTCAGTAAACATAATCTAGATATAAATACAACCTCATCTTTATATTCTTAAATCATTAAAACATTTCTCATTGAGTAAGGAAGTTATTTAGGAGAAACGTCAGAAGAATATTAACCAGCAGATCTGCTTTTTGCCTAAAGTGGCATGTTTCTTGCAGTGAGTTATATTATGCCTTCATAAAGTGTATGCTGTATATTTTTATGTGATTTTTTTTTTTTTGGATAGTAAGAAAAAGTAACTTATCTATGGTATAGAAAAGCTCTGGTTGAAAATGTGGGTGAGTGATTCTAAATGCAGGTGAAGCTCTCCAACAATCTGATGGGTAAAATGACTAAATCTGATGGGTAAAAATGGCTCTTATACATAACATCTGTAAATTCTGGGATTTGAACACTGTGATATTATTGGTCTTCCAAGGGTATGATACAGAGTAAAAATTTTGCCCTAGGTTAGCATTTTTTAAATAGTGTTTTTTTTTTTAATATTCTTAGTTGTAGATGGACACAATACCTTTATTTATTTTTTATGTGGTGCTGAGGATCAAACCCAGGGCCTCACACATGTGAGGCAAGTAAGTGCTTTACCACGGAGCCACAACCCCAGCCCTAAATCTTAAGGTGATCCTATACTGAACCAAGTTTGGAAAACAGTAGGTGAACATATTTAAGCAGATTTTACTATTGGGCCTCCCTATTGCCCAGTGGTGGAGCTATTTGTTCACTACCATCTACCTGTCTGCTCTTTCTTTCTAATTTTTTTAAAATATTTTTTTTTTAGTTGTAGATGGACACAATACCTTTATTTTATTTGTTTATTTTTATGTGATGCTGGGGATCAAACCCAGTACCTCACACATACTAGGCAAGGGCTCTACCACTGAACCACAACCCAGGCCCTCTTTCTAATTTTTTATTTTTGTTTTAATTTTTAGTACCGAGATTGAACCC